TGTCAAATCCTCACATAAGAGTAGTTTACCACCTTACTGACAAAAGCTGTATAAGCAAGACTGTGAAGTTCTTTCATCTGATCAATGCTAGATTACAATATTACAGAATGTCAAGATGCCTTATTCATTGAACCTCATGCCTTAGGCTGAACAAATATCTCATAATATTGGTACTGGAGATGCCAGTTAGCCAGATGACTCCTACTTTTACAGAACAGACAAATGTCATGAAGGGACAAGGAGTAATAAAACCATGGGCATCACATAGTGTATTTATGAAGAAGGGTGGATCTACAAGTTTATGCATGGATAACCAGAAGGTGAATGAAGTCATCTACCTACCAACTACCAAGGACTGACTCTATTTTGGATGCTCTACCTGGATGAAAATGGTTTTTAACAATCAAAGGGTGAATATTGACAAGTGCAAGTTGACAAAGCAAATAGAGAAGAGGGCCTTTATCATGGGAAACAGATTGTGGCAATTTGTTTTGTTACCATTTGGATTGTATAAAGCACCTATTCCATTTCAGTGTTTAATGGAGAGTGCTCTGTTTCTAAACACCTCTGGAATGTTATATTAATCAATTTTTATAACATAACCATACGAGAAAACCTATGATAATGTTTATAGTGGGATAAGAAAAGTTCTGGATTGACTGAGCTGAATGCCAAAAAGTGTGAAATGTTCCATGAACTGCTGACTTTCCTGAGACATAGTTAGCAGAGAGGGAATGTCTACAGATACATCTAAGATGAATATCAAGGAACTTGTGTGAGGTAAGATTTCTTGGACTATGCTCTTACAATAATTGTTTTGCAAAATCGTTCTCTGACACAGCTTGTCCCCTATACAAGTTACTTGAAAAACTAAATAGGTTTTGTTGGACCACAGTTTGTTTGCAAGTATTCAATAAACTGGAGAAAGAATTAACCACTATTGGTATACCCATCTCCACTCATTTTGGATACAGATGCCAGTAATTGTGGTAATAGTGTTATCAAAAAAACAATATGGCAAGGAACGCGTGATCGTTTACTTAACAAGACAATAAATGCTGCAAAAATAAGATACTATAACACTCAGAAATTGACACTAAGTGTGGTGTAAGCTCAGTCATTTCTATTATTACCTGTATGGACAAAATGTTACATGCTGGACAGATCATGCAGAACTGAAGTGGCTGGTACATTTTTGTAATACAGAATGCTAGATGGTTCCAGAAACTTCAGGATACAACTTTAACATCAGTTATCACCCTGGATGGAAATGCTGATACATTGTCCTGAAGACCATGTGTTAATGAAGAATATTGAACTGTGAAAAGATGGAAGCACAACATAGTAAAGAGGACCACCCTACAGAATAATCCAAAATGTTACATCTACAAGTGATGATGATAATGAGGTCTACCACTTAAATGAAAGATGCTCAGACAAAAGATATGGGTTTTGAACCAATTATTCAGTGGATCAAAAACAGTGCAGAGAATCCCTCATAACAAGCAGTCACTCCATATATACACCTGGAAAAAAGTTAAGCACCCCCAAATATTTTTCAGGATTGCT